TCCATTTAATTTTTCCCCCTATTCACTCATTAATGATTTAATGGGTGACTTTAATCCGCGGCCCTCAGGCCTATTTTTAATTGTTTTTTGGTTAAGCATTCTTCTAGGTCATATAGCCCTGGCCTGTCCACTTGCTGTACAGAATTCATGGTTGCTGTGAAGTTGAACACTGTGACAGTGATGTGTCAAATGTGATAATGGTTACCCATGGTGGACAGTGCTTGGTGGAGTTCCCCGATTAAAACAAGATTGGAAGCAGAAGTGGCATCCACTTTTGAAATAGCTTGCCTCCAGAAACCCTATGAACCTGAAGAAAGGATGGAAGTTATACAAGCGGTCAGGTCTTTTGTTCAAAGGGTAGCTATGAGTTGCCTAAGACTCAACGGCACTTAACAACAACAATATTCATTCATTGTTGCACATTTCCCTCTTTGCCCAACCCTTCCTCCTCAGTTTGCTTTTCTCTTTGAAGAAAAAAAAATTCTTTGATTGTTATACAAGCCCCCCCAGTCCACAGTCCACTTTGCTATGCATTTCTTTTTCTGTAATCTTGTCATGAAAATAATACCTAATACCATATTCCTTTTAAACAGTTCTCTCCCTCATCTGTTTCAATGCAGTATACATTATTTATCCCCTCTTTTCTTAGGTTCCCCCCAGTCCTGATGTCAGTCCCATTTTACAACACTGGGACTATGCAGTGTTTGTCCTTTTGTGACTGAGATATTTCACTCTGCATAATGTCCTCCAGGGTCACCCATTTTGTGTAATATTTCATGAGTTTTTTGTTTTTCAATGCAGCATAGTATTCCATTGTACAGACCTTTTTAAAAATATATAAACTGTCTTTGTTGTTGTTATTGTGTGCTGTTGAGTCAGAACCGATGCATAGCTGACCCTCCAGTGGGCTTTCAGAGGCAATACATTGCGTGGGAGGAGGTTACCCATCCTTCTCCCATGGAGCAGTTGGTGGATTCAAACTGTATGCCTTTGAGATTGCAGAAGGAGGAAAGAATAAACTCTCTTGGGAAATTTAAAAAACATTTTATGATAGAACTCTGGTGGCATAATCTGTAAGGAGTTGTTTGCTTAACAAAGTTGGTACTTCTCTAGTGGTTTTAATCCACCAGCAGCTCAGAGGAAGAAGAATGAGCAACCTCTTCCTGTGCAATTTACAGCCTCTGAAAAGCCGCTGGCAGGTAAACTAGGAGTTGGTTCCAATTCAACAGCAGTTTGGTGGGTTTTGTTTTGTTTTTTTAAATTTCATAATAGAAAAGAATATTCAGACCAGAAAAATAAACTGTGAAAAAACTACTATGAACTATTTAAGAACATTCTGATTTTTAAAAACTTAACTGAAGAAATAATTTTAACTTTAAAAATGGAAATATAACAAACAGAAGAGTGCACAAATCATAAGGATATAGCTAAATGAATTCTCACAAGGTAAACTCATACATTACGCTCTCTTTCCTAGTGTTACATAGCTTTTGAGTAAACTAATAAAGGGTTAACACGATTAGGAAAAATCTTTTTATGCTTTGTTACTTTCTAATCCTGAAGCACCTGTTGTGAGAGTTGTTTTGGTGTTTTCCCCGTTTGTTTCAGTGGTTGAGAGTTAAAAGCTAACTTCTGTATTAACTTTGATTTGCTCGCCCTGTGTCAAATCATGGAGGACCCTCTTGTAACACACAGGAGGGAAGCAGCCATCCTTGCAATGATAAGAGAATTAGTCAGCATGACCATGACACCCCTAGACTACATCAGGGAAAATCAAGATGCAATCCATGTCCTTTCCTTACTAAATCCTACCTCTGGCCTCTAAACAAGAGGTAGATTTGGAAGCTTATCCTCCTTGTCTCTTACATGCTGATGGGTAATGAAGCTCTGCTTTTTATTCCACACCTTTCTCTGAGACGGACTTTTGGTGGCAGGCAGTAGACCCACAACTTGGCAGTAACAGTGTCACTATTCTGACTTCTAACTTTTTAGAACAATTGCGTCTGTTTTAAAATGCTGTAGAAATGGAATAAAATAATGTGCATTTTCTTTTTTTTAAATTTATACTTACTTATTTACAAATCTTGAATACATTGTTTTTCACACAAGATCCTTCCCATTTCCTTCACCTCCCACCTATTGAATTGTGCAACCCCATGATTAGTATCCCACATGCCCTCCCCCTCATCCTCATCCTTCTGCTTCACTCCCCTTCCCTCACCTTGAATCTTCATACTCATTCAACAGTTATGGTTTTATACAGTATTTGTCCTTGTGGGACTGAGCTAGTTCACTCAGCATAATGCTCTCCAGTCCATCCCAAGTTAGGTAGTAATTTACAAAATCATTGCTCCAGTGTGCTGCATAGTATTCCATTGTATGAATCTATCACAACTTCTCAATCCATTCATTTGTGGTTAGACATCTGGGCTGTTCCCATGTTCTTGCAAGAGTGAATTATTTTTGTCTGGCTTTTACTTAATGTTGGGTTTGTGAGCTTTACCCATGTGGTAATGTAAAAATGAAATAATTTTCATTTTTATGTAGTATTTTACTGAATGAATTTCCTACAATTATATATTAGGAGTTAGGAATAACTAGTAATTACACTGTCAGGCCTCTGAAATGATAGCAATTTCAGTAGTGACAGTGATTTTATTATGCTTTTAAATGACATTTCTGATAGTTTATTAGCTTTTAAAATATATTTTGTGATGAAGCGTATACTCAAGTCTCCTGTTTGTTATTCTGTTTTTAATTTGCTTTTTAGGCAGGTACACAAATAATACTTGTCTTTTCCATGAGCTGATTTGTGGTTTGGTTGATTTCCCCCCTAATATTGTTTATTTCTATTTCATTGCTTTCAGCTGCTATTTTATTGTTTACTTTTCAGTTCTTTTTCTAGCTTCTTTTTCATAATGAATTTTTTCAATTTTTAAAAATGTTTCTTCCATTCAATATAACTATTTTGTTTTAGTGTAAATAGTATATATGACTAGGTCATTATAGTTTGTTTAATTCATTGCAAAAAGATATTTTTCTAGCCTCTTGAAATGAATATCTAATGTACTGCTTTTATTATTTCCTAACACATACACTTGAAACGAAAGCCATGCTTTAGTTATAGCTCAAAAATTTGGGTATTTCATACTTTTACTATCATCTACTCAAAAGATTTGCTAATTCTTACTATGATTTAGGGGTGTTTTTTCCCTTTGACCTTTAAATAATATAGAAGTTGACTATCCATTGTAAAATATTTGAGAGAAGTATGTAAATACTAAGAATTGTTAAATATTCAGGAGAATGATGGGTAATCTCCTCTTGTGTGATTAATTTTCCCTGAAAACCTGTTGGAGGGCTCAGCTATGGGTCGGTTCCAACTTGATGGTACACAAGAACAACAAGAAACTGCTTAATTGTGAGATATTTGGGGAATTTTTTTATAATCATCATTTTGATAGTACTATGAATTAACTTAGCCGTTTGAAACTCATTGTACTAGAGGCTGGCAAGTTTGATCACCACTCCATGTGCTCTTGAAAACAATAGATATTCTTTAATTTTTGACATATGTTTCTAAAAAAATTAATTCTTTGAGTCATGTTGTGCTTATCTTCATCAGAGGTTGACTTTTTTCCTTTAAAGAACTAGTTAGTAAATGACTTGCAAAGGATGGGGTCCCTGTCCTAAGTACTCACTATCATCCTCTCAACATGAAAATAAGATGTGAGTGTGCTCTAAAAAAATTTATTTGAAAAAAATGGATGTCTATACAATGGACCAAAGCAGATGGCTGCTGGCTCTAATTTTTGCATGTATTTCTCAGGTTTTTTTTCTGCCTATTTTTTCCCCTATAGATTTTTCTATATGAGATTCTGTAGAGAAGTCTCCTGCAAAAATTGTGAATTTGTCCAACTCTCCTTTTGGTTCTGCTGTAGTTTAAGTCTATATTACAGAATACAAGGAAATACAGACCTTGAAAGCCATCCTAGGGAAGACTTTATTGTATTTATTATAGGGCCTGGAGAATGACAGCATGGTTAGTAAAGAAGAGGAAGAGCTTCGGTGAGATGGACTGACAGTGTCTGCAACAATGGATTCAGATATAGCAATGATTGTGAGGATGGCACAGGACTGGGGAATGGTTTGTTCTTTTGGGTCAGAACCTACCTGATAGCACCTAACAACAACAACAACATCAACAACAAATATAATTGTTGGTTTCATTTCAGAGTGCTATCAAGAGGAGACCGATGACCTCATTAGATTTCTCAAAAAGGACAAAGCCACATAGCCTATTATGTTATATATCTATCTCTATCTTTATCTCTCTCTATCTCTATATCTATATATCCTTTTTAAAAATTTTTATTTACTGTGATTTTAACAGAAGTTTACAGAAAAGTTGGATTTTCATTCATCCATTCCTTGTCGCACATTTTCCTCCCTACCTCCCTAGTTATCTTTTTTTAAAAAAAAATATACATGCAGTGTTGCATAATTTCCTCCCTCTCCCAGCCCTCCCCTAGCCCACTTTGCTAAGTACCTCTTATTCTGGGCTGCCGTTATACAAAAAAGTAATATATGATTATTTGTATGCCTACATATATTCATAAGGTAGAAGAAGAAGAGAAAAAACTAAAGTCTTCCTTTTAAAAAAATCCTTTAAAACAACTGCTGTGATTGGCAATTTAAATTAATCAGTACTCAATGACTCTTGCTTGGTCTAAAAATGGGGCAAAATCCTCACACTGACCTCTAGACAGCAGAGACACCTATGAGGCCAACTACTCTTAACTCTCCAAGCCAGTTCCATTCTCCTTCTACATTGTGTAGTTCAGGGCTCACAGCTGATCTCTAAGAGGAGAGTCCAACAGGTGAAGATGTAATATGCTACGTGGATAACTTCCTTCTAGCGTGCTTCTCTGTTAGGGTGGTATCTGGACTGAGCACAGGAGAGCAGACAAGAGAGAAGGACTACACTGAGTTCCGCTTACCAGAGCTGAAAGTGCTTGATCTTGGTGACCTTCAGTTTGTACTGGGCACCCCGTGGTGCCATGGAGGCCACGTCTACAAAGATTAGTTGCTCCAAAGGTCCAGTTTCATTGGTTGCTTCCGAGGGACATAAGGTGCGGCCCACTTCCTGGTAGTTGTAGCTCTTATGGTATCTGCAGTGGCCATTGCGGGTGGAAAACAAACAGCAAAACAAGCACAAGAATAAGAAAGACTTAGTGTATAGGCAGAGAGAAGCCTCTATCTCATTGCACATTTCCCAAATTTGTTTTTAAGTGCTACATTTTACATTTCAGACCAGACCACTGATAGCAATTTTTAGAGCTAATTAAATTAGTCCTAGTGTTGCAGCAGGACTGCATGTAGGGATGTAGGGCGTGTTAGTGTTGTCCAGTTCAGTTAAACAGTGTCCGGATTATGTTGAAACATCCTGCTAACTCGATGGGGGGAAAAAAAATATCAAAGTTGAAGAGCAAAATTATACTGCTAAGACAGCCAGCTGATTTTGGTTTTCTGCTCTGCATACGGAAAATGTCAGAACCAAGTGAAGGTTATTGAACTCTCCAAAGTTTCAATTTCCAGCTTCTTCAACCTTTAAAAATTAGTTAATACTGTAGCATGTGCTCATGACTGTCTGTCTCCTGGATTTTTTCTTATTAATGCCATAGCACAATATTTAAAAAATTACTGTAACTGTAAATGAATTAAATTCATATAGTTAAAAAGAACAACAGACCATATGAAATAAAATATTCAATTAAAAAATAGAATTTTGTAGAAGTCTCTCATGGAAATTTAAGCTCAAGAGGGCAGGAAGTTTGTCTTCCCCCGCCCCCCCCCCCCCCCCGTTCTGTGTCCCCAGCACCCTACCATTTAGTGGTGCTTTGTTGATGCTACTGAGTGAAGAATTAATAAATTCTGTAGATTCTTGGTGGATGAATAATTTTTCCACTAGAGCTACAGAACATTCTGGAGAGAACATAATAAAGAAAAGTTCTTCTGGATACTGCAAATCTAGGCACAGTGTTTATGTGAAGTTGACAGAAGATGGAAAGTGAGTTTGGTGTGGGTACTATTTCATCTTAGAAAAAAAATTTGTAAATAGCCCATTGCTATGGACTTGATTCTGATTTATAGTGATCTGTACACACAAGGGAGCTCAGTGGAGTAGCCAATAGGGAATTGTGGTACCTCTCTGGTGGTTCAAATCCACTCTAAAGGCAAAGAGGGATAATTTCCTCCTGTAAGATTTACAGCTCTCAAAAACCATCTGAGGCGTCAGTTATGAGTCAGTTCCGACTTCATAGAAGAATAGAGCTGTGCTCAACAGGCATTTCAACTGCCTTCCCCGCACCCCCACTCTGCCCCACTATATTGAAAGAACTTTCTTCAGGGTTATCAGTTTCAGAGAGGCTTGAACTTCCAACTTTTGTGATTAATAGCTGAGTATGTTAACCATTCAACTACTGAGGGACATTGCTTACACTTGACATTCATAAAATACTAATGTCTAGTTTACATCTGGTTTCTCCTTTCACCAGGGTAAAGATGAGTGAGTTCTAGGACATTAAACAAAACCAAATGTGCCGTTCTTTGTTGTCTAGAGAAAGCCCCACTCACAGTCCTTGGAAGAGCAGAGGAACCTGCCAGGACAGCACTCCCTTCTGCTGGCGAACCACTACGAGCACTGGGAAATCCAGGTTCTCAGAGGAACTGTTCACATACACCCTCACTGCATTCACCTGCAAGGCAGAACAGAGAGACAGGTGAGGAAAAGGCCCACACATGGCTCAAAATGCCCCCCTCTGTTCACTTTCTCTACTCACGCTGTAACCGCCAGGGCTTTAACCCTTGATTGCACACTAAAATGACCAGAAATATTGATGCCTGTATCCAACTCTCTGAGACTCGGTATATTTGGTCTTTGGTGAGGCTAAATTATGGAGGCTCCAAATAGTCGGTTGAGGGGTTTCAACTGGACAAACAACAGAAGATGTGGAGAGTGAGCCCAGAGAAGGAGGAAGAAACTTAACTTGCTTTCTGTCTCATTTAATTACAAATGTTAGAGACACAAATGTTAAAACAACAAACCAAACAAAAAAAAAACTCCTCTAAGAGCCTTGATGATGTTGTTGTTGGGTGCATGGAGTCGACTACGATTCACAGTGACCCTATGATAGGTGACAGAAAAACTATGATTTTGGTTTGGCAAATGATACTATGCTTCAAACCAAATGCTCCTGCAACATCTCTCTTAAAGCCTAACAGATGGCATGATGCTTGCACCAGCACCAAATCATGAGCTCCCACACAGACAGATATAAGTGCTGACAATTTTTCTCTTTGCCCTGTTCCACAGTATAAATTAGTTCCTGACACAAGATGCTTTTTTATGTCAGCAGCTTCATGGTTATCTATCTAATCTATCTATCTATCTATCATCTATCTACCATCTATCATCTATCTATCCATCCATCCCCAACTCAAGGATTTAACTCTATTGTGATTGTTTTAGAAAGATGGAAACAAATGTGGTTCTAGATCTGGAAGTATTTATCCTCCCTAAAGTTTTATAATACTCTGGCAACTTCTGAGGTGACCAAATAGGGTAGAGGGGAGGCAGGGTGGGGGGAAAAAGTAATACTTATGAGATTTTCTTGTTCAAATGTATTAAAGCCCGAGCAGTCCCATGAAAAGAGCTTTATCAAGGACAATAAAATAGGACTGCAATTAAGCCCTGAAGCTCTTCCACATAATCAAATTGGAAACTGAGATAAATGGAGAAGTATGGGTATAATTTAGTGCTTTTATATAATTTTCCTTGATCACAGCACTGTTTTGAATTTTAAATGTTAGAACAATCCAAGAGTAGTTTAATAAGTTGATAAGTGAAAATTCATGAAAGAAAGGTTTTTCTTGTGCCTATATTCAAAATGTTTCCATGGAAATTACACAATTTCTGAAATTGCTGACAGTGAGGAAGACTTGAAGCACTTAAAGGAATGCAGTCTTCAGTATGGATTGTGTCTCAATATCAAGATTCTTACCCTTGGACCAATAGGCAGTGTCATGATGGATGGAGAGGAGATTGAAACTGTCAACAGCTTCATCTTGTTGGATCCACAATTAACACCCTTGGTACTAGCAGTCAGGAAATAAGGAGATAGAACTGGGAAAATCTGCAGTTAGAGACCTCTTTATATTATTGAGGAGTAGTTATATCAGTTTAAGGACTAAGGTGCATCTGATTCAGGCCATAGTCTTTCAAATTACTAGCTATGCATTGAGATGTGGACAGTGAATAAGGATGACAGAAAAAGAACTGAGGTTTTTGAGCTGTGGTATTGGAAAAGAGCACTGAACATCCCATGGACAGCCATGAGAAAGAACTGATAGGCCTTGGAGAGAGTGCAGCCAGAGTGCTCTTTGGAAGCACAAATAATGAGGCTTCACCCCACATACTTGGACATGTTTCCAGAAGGTGCTATTCTTTGGGACGAGATATGCTATCAGGATGGGTGGAGGGTCGGCAAAGGAAAGGAAGACCCTCAATCAGATAGACTGACATGATGACTGCTGCAATGGGCTCTTGTGTGTCAGGAAGTGTGAGGATGGCGCAGGATAGAACAGGGTTCAGATCTTTAATCATAAGGGTTGCTGTGAGTTGAACTCAACTCGAGAGCACCTAACAACAACACATATTAAAAAAATTTTCCATGGACATTATACAACAGTTAATATTGCTAAATCATATCTCCAGTATTCTCCTCATCCATAAACTCTGGATATTCCACAACTCAGCTCAACTGCCTTTGAGCTACAGGTGACTCACAGCTGATCTTCCAGTGACTTTTTGATGGCTGTAAATAAACAGGAAGAGATTGTCTATGTTTATCCAGAGGAGACGCTAGTAGATTTGAATTGCAAGAGAACCACATTTGGGTTAGCAGTGCAATTCCTTGTTGTTGTTATGTGCCTTGGAGTCACCTGCAATTCTTAGAGACACAATTATAATAGCTCTGAACTCTGCTCTGTGCTGAGCCAGTCTCACTGACTCTGACACACCTACCCCCATTACCCCAGTTACTGTGCCAATCATCTCATCCAGGGTCTTCCTCTCCTGCACTGTCCCTCCACTCCTCTGTGCATGATGTTCTTCTCCAGGGACTGGTCCCTCCTGGCCATATGCTTAAAATATGTGAGATGTTGCTGTTGCTGTCATGTGCTGTCAAGTCATTTGCGACTCATAGCGACCCTATGTACAACAGCCCTAAACCCTGCTCTATCCTGTGCCATTTTCACTGCCTCTGACACACCCATGCCAATTACCCCAGTCACTGAATCAATCCACCTCATAGCAGGTCTTCCCCTTCTGCGCTGTCCCTCCACCCTCCCAAGCATGATGTCCCTCTCCAAGGACCTGTCTCTCCTTATAACATGTCCAAAGTATGTCAGACGAAGCCCCAGAATCCTTGCCTCCAAGGAGTAGCCTGGTTGAACCCTCTCCAGGATGAATCTGTTTGTTTTCTTGGTTGTCCATGGTATTCTCAATACTCTTCTCCAGCACCACAGCTCAAAGGCATCAATTTTCCTTCTATCCTCCCTAGTCATTGTCCAACTCTCTGATGCATAACAAGTGATTGCAAAGACCATGGCCTGTATCAGGCGCACCTTAGTCTCGAGAGAGACACCGTTGCTCTTGAGTACTTTAGAGAGGTCCCTAACAGCAGACTTTCCCATCGCAATACATTTTCTGATTTCCTGGCTGCTGATGCCAAGAGTGTTGACCGTGGAGCCAAGCAAACTGAAGCTGTGAACAATCTCAACCTCTTCATCATCCATCCTGGTGCTACCAATTGGTCCAGTGGTGAGAATCTTTGTCTTCTTGACATTGGGCCGCAGTCCATACTGAAGGCTGCAGTCCTTGACCCTCTGCAGCAAGTGTATGAGGTCCTCCTAAGTTTCAGCAAGCAGGGCTGTGTCAACTGCAGAACGCAGATTGTTAACAGATCTTCCACCAATCCTGACGCCACACTTCTCCTCATAGAGCCCAACCTCTCAGATAATCTGCTCTGCATACAGGTTGAAAAGGTATGGAGATAGGACACATCCCTGACATACACCCTTCCCAATTGTGAACCATGCAGTGTTACCCTGTTCTGTTCATGCCTCCAAAAAGTAGTCTGGTTTTACCTTCTCCAGAATAAACCCATTTGTTCTCTGGGTGATCCATGTATATTCAGTACTGTCCTCCAGCACCACAGCTCAAAGTCACCACTTCTGCCAACCCTAGTCACTGTCCATCTTTCTGATGCATGGCAAATATTTGTGACGACATAGCCTGAATCAGATACACCTTAGGCTCCAGATTGAAACTGTTGCTTTTCAGTACTTTGGAGAGGTTCCTGGACAGCAACTTTCCCCAGAGAAATTTGTCTTTTGATTTCCCGACTGTTGGTGCCAACAGTGTTAATTGTGGATCTGAGAAAGCGGAAATTGTTAGTCTCAATCTCTTCTCCATTTATCATGGTGCTGCCAATTGGCCTAGTGGTGAGAATCTTTGTCTTCTTGACATTGAGCTTCAATCCATATTGAAGGCTGCAGTCCTTGACCTTCTGCAGTAAGCACTTCAGGTCCTTCTCAGTTTCAGTGTGCAAAGTTGTGTAATCTGCATAATGTAGGCTGTTGATGAGTCTTTCTCCAATCCTGATGTCATATTCCTCCTCATAAAGTCCAGCCTCCTGAATGTCCAGTTCAATATATAGCTAGAAAAGCATCCCCAACACACCCCTTTCCCTATTTTGAGCAAGCATTTCCTTGTTCTGTTCTAAAGACTGCTTCATAGTCCAGGAATATGTTTCACATGAGCACAAATATTCTAGGATTCCCATTCTTCTCAAGCAACTCCCTACATAACTCAAATTCAACATGTCTGGAATTGAACGTATCACTCCATCATTACTAACTTGGTTTTCCCTTATTATTTTTCTTATCATTTCCCTTGCTTGATGATGGCCACATCATGCAACCATCCACTCATTCAAGTCTGAGAATTATCCTTGATTATGACTTCTTTAGAGCCCTCGATCAATGAATCATCAAACTCTACTGCTTCTAACTCCTTAGTACGTTTGACATACAGGCCTCCACCCCACCACCAAGAACAATCCCATGGCTCTCCCCTTCCTCACTGTGACCCTTGGCAGATTCCCTCTAATATTCCTACCTCCAGGACTGAACCAATCTCCCCAAGCTAAAAAGTGCAATTTTTTTTCTTAAAAGATCTTTAGTGACTGGGAATTTTCAGAGTTGTTCCAATGTAATGAGTGAATTATCGTGTATTTATCACCTGGCTTTAGTAATGGTTAACAAGTACTTGATTTTATATTATTCATGCCCATTTCCCCACTATCTCCCACTGGATTATTTTCAAATAAACAGTAAATATCATGTCTTTTCTTCTGCAAATGTCTAAGTAAATACCTTAACAGATAAATCCACTTCATTTAAGACAGATTTGTTTGTTATTTTGGTAGACCATAACATAATCCACATTCTTGTTAGGTGCCGTTGGGTCAAGTATGACTCATAGCAACCCTATGAACAACAGACTGGACCCTGTAGTATCCTGTGCCATCCTCATCATCTCTGACACACTCAATCCCGCTGCTGCAGTCACTGTCAATCCATTTTGTTAGGGGTCTTCCTCTCTTTCATTGACTCACCATCTTTCCAAGCATGA